CATTACGATCTTCTTGAAGTCCGGCCTGTACTATTTAATTATAAATTTCACTATATATTTAGACTCACGAGACTTGTAAATATTACAACTTTTAATTTACGAAACTTGTAAATGTTATATGTACGGCAAATATATGAATAAAAAAAATAAAAAAAAATTAATAAACAAATATCTTTAATCAACGAACTTCAATGATTTAAGTCGGTTTCTTTTATAGCTACTATGTTAGAAACCGACTCAAAAGTCATTGACTTTTGCTTACAGTTTTTTGCTTGTAATTATTTTGTAGTAAGTAAAGTTTAATCAATAAACAATTATTATCTTTAATCAACGAGCTTCAATGATTTGAGTCGGTTTCTTTTATAGTAAGTATGTTACAAACCGACTCAAATTATTGACTTTTACTTACAGTTTATAGCTTGTAATTATTTTGCCGTAAGTATTCATTTTATTTAAAAGAAATGTAAAATGATATTTTGGATGACGCTGATATTTTGGATGAAATAATGTTATGCAAATAAGAAAAGCATATCAAAAATTGTTTTAGAGCAGTATTTCAAAATAACTTTGTTATAACATATAAAGAATATTTTCAATTTAATACCTTAGATACCTTTTTTTAACTTAATATTTCCCGTGACTTTTTATTATAACCTATATTTTTTTTTACCATAAAAGACTTTTCAGTGCGCAATTCATAAATTTTTTAGTGCGCAAAGACAATTTTTTCACTGCGCTTTTTTTATTATCAGAAAAGTGTGGAGCAAGAAAGAGACTTAGTTGATCAACATTATTTTATAAGATTGTCACAGAAAGTCTGTCGATATTTTAGAAAGGAGAGAAAGGCGTGTAAAAACATGTCACAAAAAAATCACTATTAAAGCCTGAAATAATTTAACTATATATATTTCTGCCAATCAAAATTCTATATCGATGAAATAGAATTTTGAACGACAATTAAAGTTATTTAAAGCAAACAATTGTTTATTTAAACAATTGTTTGCTTTAAATAGATGAAATTCAGAGTTTTGTAAGATTCAATTGCCTATAGTTTAACATTTATATTTTTTCGGATTATTTTTGATTATTATAGAATAATACTGCTTTCCTTTAATTAATTTATAAACAGTATTTAAGTAGGAAAAATCATTGCTTCAGTCAAAATTTCATTTATATAATATGCTATAATAATTTTCGTGCTAACGAAATTTATTATAGCATGAAGAGCGAGTGGGAAATATTTTATTTTTAGAAAAGCGTATAGCATAATGCTATACGCTCTTCTAAAAATAAAATATTTCCCACTCGTTAACCACAAAACAAATTAGAAAGTAGTCATATTTAAATTTTCTTGTATTTATTTATGGCATTAGTCTTCTATTTGTGTAACCATTGCTACTTTTTTAAGTTTAGCAACTTAATACACGTTGTTGTAAAAAAAAATGTAGTTTCTATTTTTAATTTTTTGTTAAAAATTAGTTATGTTTATTGCTACATATTAATTTTGTTAAATATTAATTTTGTTATATTGCTACATATTAATTTTGCTAATTGGCACTGTTTCTAGAAAATTCTAGTTGCTTATTTGAAGAATGACATTTTGAGTTTCTTGTTTGAGTTGTTTAGCATTAAACATAATTTATTTATTATCATCTAAAATATCTTATGTGCGTTTGATTTCAACTCAAAACTTGTATTATGATAAAATTGGAAATTATTGCACGATATCGCACAAGTGAATATTTTATATTTATTACATTTTTTTATATGTTCACTGCTTTTTTTGAATATAACTTTAAGTATTAAATAAAAATTTAGGTACGAAATGGAACTAAAAAAAAAGTATTAAAAGAAGCGCCTAATTTTAAGGAAAAAAAGGCGCAAAAGATGGAAAGACTAAACAATCAAAGCGCTAATCCACCTTGTTACAATTTAGATGAAAACTGTGATGAAAACAGCAAAGAAGTATATTTAAATTCAGATCATTCTTTAAATTGCAACAAGAAACAAAACGAAGAAGAATGTCAAAAACATGAATTGCAATATAATAAAAAAATTAATAAAAATGGTGATTTTTACTCTGGGTTTGCTGAAATCAAAAGACCAAAAACCGGATATATTAATAAACCAAGAACGCCTGTAATTTAAAAAAAAAAATAAAAAACCTAATATCAAAAATGATAAAAAAAACTTGCTAAAATAAAAAGTGTAAAATTTTTAATATTTGCAGTTTTTTTTAAAAAACTAATATTTTGTTTATTTTTTTCTTCTTCTTAAATTTGTCATTAAAATTCAAAATATTTTTTTTGTATATATTTGTTAGGATATATATTTTTTGTATTCCATCTATAATAGAATACATAAAATATATATCTTAACATATATTAACAGTGGCTAGAACTCTGGATCAGATTTATGAGGTTCGTGTTTCGAAGACAGCTCTAGCACAATAAGCGTCATTGGTAAGAAAGTAGGCGTGAACTCCAGGTTAAATGCTCCTCTGCGGTGCCCTGAGATAAGACCGAAAGGTCTTCTTGGAGCCTTTTAAGAACTAAATAAAAAAAGATGTGTTAGTTTGATGTTGTCAAATTTTTGACAACGCATTGTTGACGGTTGCGTTTAAAAGCATGCCAATTTTTATAATCTTGCCGTCCAAACGGTGACAATAAAAATTGCACAAAATTACAAAAAAACCAATCTGATATCTTAAATCATTATTTGTCTATGTAATTTTAATTAAAAAAATACAATTAACTCATTGTCTTCACATTTGGACAAGGGGGCAGATTTTTTTTTGGTCTTTTTGTTTCGTGGCCGCTTTTTTTGCAAAACAATCTAATTTGGCATAAGCATAAACATTTTCAATTTTGGAGTTTGTACAATGTCTAAAATTGTCATATTTTGAACATCAAAAAATCTTTCTTCGTAGCTGTACTCTATATAACATAGTTTATATAACATATTTGATAATATAACATATTAAATTATAAAAGCTAAGTTTATATAAATGACTTCAATAAAATCATAAAAGTTTTTACGAGTTCTACGTACTTTCAAATCGAATTTCTTAATTTTCATTTTAGAAAAAAGACAGCAACCAGTGACGGATTCAAAATTTGAAAAAATGGGGCGAGGGGAGGGACTAAACTTTATATGGCCGAATCTTTAGAACGCATAAAATATAATTTGATAAAATTCTAAATCTGATTAAAATTATGATTGTACTTAAGATTAAAAACAAAACTAGTCTGGTTAAGACCAGAGAAGACGTTGAGCGCGCTTTTCGAGAATATTTTTGTTCCAATATACAAATCACCTGGCGTTTGCCTTGAACCAAGATTTTTTGATTTAGAGACTAATTTCAAAAGATTGACAAGGTTGGCACAAAAAACGTCAAAATTTAGATAAAAAATGTTTTAGGATAGGAATAGTTCATTGATTCAACTGATCATAAACTTTGTTGAATTTAGATTAAGTTTGAACATAAATTCTCATAAAAATATAGATTTGTCTTGCATTATCTACAAATTTCAATCAGATGAGAACTATTGTTTAAAACTGAATCCAAGATTAATAAAGTGTTTGATTAGTTGAATCAATAAACGCCACAAAGAAAAGACATTTTTGTCTGTTTATCTAAAGAAAGACATTTTTTGCTTCTATTGACATAACAGAAACATTTCTATCATTTAATTTCTGAATGAAGTCTTGCTCTTTGGAGACTCATTTTGAAACAAAATATTTTTGATTTGATTATTTTAATTTTATAAATCAAATCTACGTCAAACAAGTTGTCAGACGGTTGATAGTTTATTCATAAGGTTGACAAATTGTCAACCTAATGAATAATTTTTTAAGAGCTTAAAACCCCCTTTTTTTTTTTAAAAGTTTCTTTAACTCTTCTATAATCTCGTAATTAAATAAAAAAAAATGGCATTATGGAAACCACCACAAACTACATGTGTGGAAACCACCACAAACTACATGTGTTATGGAAACCACCACAAACTACATGTGTGGAACCATTAATGCTCTGATTTTTTATATGTATAGAAAAAAATAAAATGCTTTTACATATATTAATATAAGAAAAATCATTTGATTTTTTATATATAAATATTTTGAATTAAAAGTATTGCGCATATTACTAGGTTAAACCGGGTCATCTGAGATATCTAAATATAGGCTAGATTAGGGTAATATGAGCACCTTAAGCAAAATTTGGAATATGTTCAAAAATAATTATGCTGGATCTAATTTTTGGAATATAATGATTCGTTATTAACAAAACTTATCATTAAAATATCAAATTTTAAACCTCTTTTTGTTCAAGTATTGTACTACTATGTTTTCCGCAAAAAAATAAAAAAAATTAAAAAAAAAATTAAAAGTTCGTTTTTTTTTCAGTTTTATTAACTCAAACCTTAAAAAGATAAAAATTCAAATTTTTTGAATTTAAATTACAAAAAAACACTTAGTATTATTAAAATATTAAATTTTTTTACTGTTTTGTTTATTCAAAAAGCAATTAAAACCACTGCTATTTTATGACTTTGAACTAGGTAATTTCAATGAAAAACAATTTGAGCATGCTCATATTACACAAAAATTGCATCTTTAAATAAAGTCAAAACTAAATATTTCTATGCATTGTTTTTCAAACTAAAATGGATTGGATTTTTAGCTAACATATTTTTCTTTATGAAAAAAAAATTTTAATTTTAGAACCAAAATTTCGCGCCACAGATTTATTCATGCGTGATATTATTTTAAAAACGCAAAAAATTTAATAGCGTTTTAATTAGATGACAGCAGCTAATTACTGCATATAAATTTACGCTAATTCTACTGATTCCTGTTATCATAACATTCAAAAAATACAAAGCAACTTTAACTTCACTGCTTACACCTAAGAAATCTTTAGGTATGCTCATATTACCCTAATCTACCCTTTAAAAATCTCTCTGGAGATTTTCATACAATTAAAGAGTGCAAAACTCTTACTTTTTATACTCCTTTGTTTACATCCTTTAAAAAACATTAACAAATAAATATTAAAACCAATCGTAACAACCAGATTAGCTAAGGGTAAAAACGTTTCGCAAAGTCATTTTAAAGCAACAACAAAGAATAACTGACTCATAAGCACACTAAACTTTGAAATTGCACAACTTTGGCTCGTAGAGTCTTTTACTATACATCTTTTTCTTTATCAGTGTCTGGTCTTTTACCAATCAGTGCTCAGTCTTTTATTAGCCAGTGTTTAGTTTTTTACCAATCAATTTCTAAAAACAAAGAAAAAATTTAATTTGCGATTCAATATTTTTTATTATGCATCACAGTTGTAAAAAATGATTTAAAATGTAAAAAATGATAGGCTGATCTAGAGAAATCGATTGTAGGGATGGACAAAAATGTTTTTTAAGCTCCAAAAATGCTATACAGAAATCAAATAATAACGTTTACCAACCATCCCACTACCAAACCTTTATTTGGTAGTGGGATGGTTGGTAAACGTTATATAGTCATAACGTTTAAACTTAACGATCATAAAGAATTGTAATTTGCCTAAATAATAAAATTAGATTTACAAAACCTCAATTAGCATTTTTATTAACGAAATGATGTCTTATTGTTGATAATATCCCAATATAATTCAAAAATAGGATTCCCTAAAATGCCAACTCAATTTGACAATCAATTGGTTATTATTTGACGATTTTTTTCATCCTTTTGTATTTTGATCTATATTTATGAAATATATAGCAGATGGTTTTAGAGCAACACAGTTACTAAGGTAAGAATACAATTAGCAATTTGCTACCTAATATTAGTATGCCTTTTCAGCCATCATAAACGCTGTCTATTTTTTTCTTTGATGTGGATTTGGTGGCGATATAAACATTTTGCCATCTCTTTTTTTGATAAGCAAGTATGTAACACACACACACACATCTTTTGCACCAATTGGACAGCTGCAATGACCTTATTCAAGATTAAATCCATCAAAAAGTAATTCAGCTGATCTCAAATCATCATTAAATTTTTTAGATTTAACGTTTGTACTTTTCACCGGTAACTATTTCAACTGAAACTATTTTGAAAATTTGATTCTGGGTGCTTTTTCTTCTTGTTTTTTCTTTTATGGTAAACAATATCTGTAAAAAATAACTTTAAGATCTGAAGATCTTCTATGATGAGTATTTAGCTGTAAATTTAGGAGTTTTAGGTGGATTGAGACTGCATTGAAAACTATAATATCTGTTTCCTTTTGCTTTCAGTTTGTTTGTTAGTTTTTATCATAAATATTTTAATACTTTGTTAAGGAATTTCTCTAAATTTCTTAAGTTACCATTTTAATTTTTTTCGCTACATTGCATTAATTTTGAGACCAGACCAGAACACAATTGACTGATTAATGTTGGCAAAATTTTTATTGATGTTTATTAATTAATTTGTATGGAAACAGAAGTAATATAAAAATACATACTAGAAAAATATAAAATTAAAATACATACGCTAATATAAAAATAAATTGACACTAAAACATATTTTTTTCAATGTAGTACCCTAAAACATAACAATTGAATGGGATAAAAATACTTCAAAGTCGATATCTCATAGGTAAAAATCCATTTTTACTTGGCTGGATATTACACCTTGTTTGTTTATGATAATGTCTAATTTTTGTTAACAGAATAATTCTTAAAAAAATAATTGTATAAATGAAGTATAAACCTTTTTTGTTATTATATATTGATTTATTTTCTTTACTTTCTATGTATAAACCATTGATAAATCTCTCAAATATCTTGATTCCTTCATTCAGGCTAGTTTTACTGTAATCTAAAATAATAAATTACATAAAATTATTACAATTATAGATGCAATAAATTGAGGTTTATGGCATATATATATATATATATATATATATATATATATATATATATATATATATATATATATATATATATATATATATATATATATATATACACATATATATATATATATATATATATATACATATATATATATATATATATATATATATATATATATATATATATATATATATATATATATATATATAATATTATATATATATATAAAATGTATATATATATACATATATAATATATATTTATATATATAAAACATATATATATAATATATTATATATACATAAAATATATATATATACATATATAATATATATATATATATAAAATGTATATATATATACATATATAATATATATTTATATATATATATATATATATAATATATATATATAATATATTATATATATATATAAAATGTATATATAAATATATACATATATAATATATATTTATATATATATATATATAAAATATATATATAAAATAAAATAACTAACTTAATACACATATCTTTTAATTTGTCAGTGAAAAATGATATAAGTAAGTTAAACTTTACTTAAAAAACAACATTTTCAATTAATGTACCTTTTTTTTACAATAAAAAAATAAATATATACAATGTTTATTAAAACATTTTACAAAGTTAAATATTTAATTGTTCAGATTTCGTGACTCGCATTATAAAGTTGAAGATCATCATTGACTAAATATTTTACCATTTGAAAATCATCATTGACATCATTTTTTAGATCATCATTGACATCATTTTACCATTTGAAGATCATCATTGACAAAATATTTTACCATTGACTCAAGATCATTAATTTATTTTATCTGAGAGCAAAAAACGTTTTGAATCATTTTTTAATGGAGGAAACTCTTTTAGAACTTTAACGTTCTGCTTATTCTTTCACTGAGGGGTACCTTTTACCAATCTTTCTTCAATTAACGGACCTGAGAATAATTTATATAATATAAAAAGGTAGATGTTTTTCATGACACATTAGTTTTACTTTTGCAAAAGGTACTTTTTGGAAATATAAAGACTGGGAAGCAAGTTTGAGGTTTTTGAAATCATCTTTGTACATTTGTATGATTTTCAATTCTACTCTATAAGTTTTTCAATAGATGACAGTAATTTTAATAACGTAGAAGGACTGTAAATCTCAAGCCTGTCAAATGACTTAATTTTTTTTTAATCACACTATACGCAGTGTTAATATTTTGCATTGAACTATGACCATGTCAACAGTGGGCATGCGTCATCCAGGGGACATCTATGATACATCCAATGGATGTACCCGGATGATGCATGCCCATTGGGTCACTATACTTCTGTTCAATGAATGGTATTCCGCTTTCATTTTGAAAAATTTTTATTGTCATAGACACAATTGAACTCTTATTCTGGGGAACATAAAAATCAGACTGCAAAATAATATGATTAACTGATATATTAGGACAGTCTTGAATGATTAACTTTAATATATTATACAGACAACTTGCAAGTTTATTTGCACCTCTAACAGCCATAGATTTATTCCAAAGTGCACAAGCTTTGTTATTCAATGAACAGTGGGCTGTGAAATTATAGCAACTTAATTTTCTTCTATAATAGAATGCAGAAACATTAGCAATTGGAAGGGAAAACACTTTTTCTAAATCAAAAGTTATAACTGCTGTGGTTTTTATAATCTCCATTTGCAACTTTAGCTAGGCCACATTTTCTTTCTTGGCTAGTTAACAGCTTACTCTCTATGCTGCAGTATTTTTTAATCATCTTCTTTGTTTTTATACTCTTGACATAAATCACACGAATCTTTCTTTGGAATGGAACAAGAGCCTTGTGAATGGAACAAGAGTCTTGTGTGCATTGTAAATGAGTTCAATAAACTCCAACTCTAAACTCCTTTTTCATCTTTTCTTAATCTTAATCAAAATCAATTTAAAAAAATTCTGAATAATATTTTGTTATAATTTTTTTCTATTACTATAATAATTATCCTTATTTTTAAAATCTTTTCTTTCACTTATCATGAACTCTTCCTCAACTTTCTTTGTCGTCCAAGGGACCCATAAAAGTAACCTTTTATATAGAAATTTGCTTCTAAACTGCTTGGGAGTTTGTTTTATTATTAAAAAATATTGGTGTTTTATGGAAAAATGTTTGTTCGGTTAAAATGGGCTAATATTACGCTTGTGGGTTTGTATCTTTTTTTTAAATCTTTTTTTTAATACTTTTTGAAAAATTTTTTTTTAAATAAACTTGAAAAATATAATTACAACATAGTTTTGTCTAATATTAATATAAAAATATATTACATATATGGGAGGACGAGGGTGGCAATGCAAATGAAATATTTGTACGGTATTTGTATGTTATTTTACTTTTATATAAAAAAATTTAAAAAAATAAATTCCGCTTCTTTAATCCAAGAGGTTTAATAAGCGCGAACTGGCATAAGTGCAAACTAGTATAAGTAGGAGGCGTTGCAAAAGCTAGAACAAGTGCGAAGTGGCATAAGTGTGAAGTATTTTAAGTTGCGTTATACCAATATTTGCAATTTTATTTGACCGTTTTTGCAAGTACGCACTTATCACATTTCGCACTTATGCCAATGTTTCAAAATTCTTTTGGCTCACTTATGCCAATTCGCACTTATGCAAGTTTTTGTAACTGCTTCGCACTTATGCCAGTTCTCATTTATGCCAATTCGCATATATACCAGTTCGTACTTACGCCATTTGCAATTATGACAGGTTCGCACTTATAAAATTTGCGCTTATTCAGTCGTCCCCCTTAATCAGGAAATACTTTGTTTCTCTAATAAGGATAAAAAACTCTATTTAATGTCTTGACAATATATCGTGACTCTCTGTAAAGACTAAAAAGAAGAAAATAAAATATAGCAATATCATTTGCTAAAAAGTTTAACATTTTATAATCTTTTCTTTCACTTATATAATTTTTTTCCTTAACTTTTATTGTCGTCCATGATGCTCCAAAAAATAAACATTATATAGAGTAATTAGCTACTAAATTGCTTGCCAGTTTGTTTATAATAGTAATAATTTTTATGTAACAAATCTTATCATTTTTAAAATAGGCTAATACTGCTTGTAGGTTTGTAATTTTTTTTTTAATTTACTTTGTTCTCTTATAAAAAGAATTTTTTTTATTTTTTAAATTGGCTAAGATTGCTTGTGGGTTTGTATTTCTTTTTAAATCTTTTTTTTAATACTTTTTAAAAAAAAAATTTTTTTAAATAAAATTGAAAAAGTACTTACAATGTAATGGTAACTTTGCCTAAATTATTATTTTAATTCTAATTTAATATAAAAATATACTACATCGTGGTGGACGCGGGTTGCAATGCAAATGAAACATTTGTACTTTATGTTATTTTACTTTTATATAAAAATTTTTTATCATTAAAAAGAAAAACATTCTGCTCCTTTAATCACTCCATTTCTTTAAAAACTCCATTTCTTTAGGATAAAAAGCTTGACTTAATTACACATGTCTAGACAAACACATTGCTAAATATTGTAAGTCTCTGTAAAGACTAAAAAGTAGAAAATAAAATATAGGTAAAACATTTGCTAAAAATATAATCTTTTTGTACTAAAAAGTAGAAAATAAACTTTTTAATTTAAATTTAATAGTTCTGTAAACTAAAGATTGACAGGTATGTTTTTAAATAAACCTTGCGCAGACCTATCAATCTTTAGTTAACGGAACTATTAAATTTAAATTAAAAAGTTTATTTTCTACTTTTTAGAACAAAAAGATTATATTTTTAGCAAATGTGTTTGCTAAATTTTATTTTTTTTGTTTGTTTTTCATTTCTCTTTTATTATTACCTACATATATGATTTTTAAAAAAAGTTTACTTTATGTGTGTCTATGTTTTATGTCAATATGTTTATATTAGTCATATTATTTTGAAAAATGGTGTCTCTCCTTTGATCAGACTTCTGTTTGAGTAACACCATCCATACTAATCATTAACTTATTATAATAAGAACTAACATATCATTTACTTATTATTATTATAATTATTATTATTTATAATTTTTTTTTGTTATTATTATGATTATTGTTATAAATTATTACTATTGCTTATTATTTTGAAATTATTATTGTTATTATTATTAACCTTATTATTGTAAAAATGATTTTAAAATGGAAAATAAATAGCTTGTTGTTGTTGTTTGTTGTTTATAAAATGACATATTAATTAACGTATTAAAAGTTTAACAATAAATATCTTTTTCTATATGGAAAGCTTGTGCAAATAACCTGTACATTTTCATTGTACTCAATGATGATTCTAAATATTTTTTGTCAGTATTCTGTCTGCATTAGTGTGAACCAACTATTGGAAAACTATTTATGTGTTCTCTGATCTTATCTAAGACTTAATTGAAAGTTTTTCTGCAAACCATTTTTTTTTTCTTCAGGGACCTTGATAGTTTTCGTATTAAAAGTTTAATAATAAATATCTTTTTCTAAATGGAAGTCTTACTTAAGTCCACTTACTTTATTTACCATGCTATTAAAATTATAGTAAATTCTTCTTTTACTAATATCTAAAGATTTTAGAAAGAATAATTTGAAAATACTGTTTATAACATCATTCTTTTCAAAATGATATTTATAAACACACTTCTTTTGTTTTTTAATTTCTGAACTTTTACTTTTTCTTTTACAATCCCATCTTTCTATATTTTAAGTACTAAAGTTTTAAGTGTCACTTCCAGAATTAAGAATGGATTTCAACTTTAGCATTAGCACTAAAAACATTTTAGTTTACACCATGAAGAACAAGTTTCTCCTACTTTTTTCTCTGGTCTCTCTTGACCTTTTCTATCTATGTAGGACTTGCCACACTGCCTTTGCTTTTTGTCAGACATTCATTTTCCATGTTACCACTTCTTTGTCTTTTTTTTGTGAGTTTACTGCAAAATATAATGAAAGTAACAATAAATCTATTGCGTTGGAAACTTTTTATTAAGCTGCTTATTAAAAACTAAAAAATTAATGTTATTAAAACTTTAGTTTAGAATATTATTAAAAAATAATGCATAATTACTGTTGATATAACAAATAAATAAATAAAAATTAATGATAATAAAAGAAATTTCAAGAATTTATTTAGAATGTAAGTATTTTATATTTACTTTTTATTGTTAAGAGAAATGCTAGTAGAAGAAAAAATTGAATTGGTAAGGTCGTACCACACAGCCAGGTGTTTCTTCCTCCATTTGCTTAGGTTCCATTACTATTGGTATCAGATTATCAGAAGCAATAAAATACTCCATATTTGTTATAAAATAGTCCTTATTTGTTACTTATCTTTACAAAAAAAAGATATATCTATAAATACTGTTTAATTCTTCTGATTATGAGTAATAATTTTTATTTACAATTTATTTAAAAGAAAACAAAAAACAATTCAATATTAAAAATTAATGGAATGTATTACTTTTTATTTACAAAAAACATATGTTAAAAAGTAAACAGAGAAGTATACATAGTTAAATATAAAGTTATATGAGCAAATAGAATGCTATTATTGGTCTATCCTAAGTACAACAAATGTACATTGAGCATCTCGTTTAAAAAGTTCACTTACGACAAATGATTCATTGAGCTATATTGGAAGAAAATTTAAGAGAGCTATCAGATAATTTTTTTTTAATAAGTGCACAAAAAATGATTCACATATATGTCATTTTTTTCAAAAATGTCAAACACAATACTTGTATTCCAGGCCGACATTGTGTGTCATGCTTAGAAAAAATACTGTATCAGAAAAAAGAAAAAAAACGTTGCAAACTAAACGTGTAAGGTTGGATGTTAAATTGTTTAAAATTAGCTATTAAGTATTTTATTATGGTTATAGCTTTTATTTACCATTCTTTTTTAAATTTGCAACTTTAGTTATTAACATATTAGTATACTTTAAGACTTACAATATGAACTAGATGGTTATGGATAAATCAATAAATGCATGATGAAATTTTTAACCAGGTGAATAAAAAAAAATCTACAAATGTGGTACTCTAACAATCTGTAATGAGGTAATCTAACATAAATTAATAACTTTACTTTTTAAATTTAAACATGGCTAAAAAATCAACCATAGCGTTAATCTTTGAACATAAAAGTAATAAATAAAAAATTTGCTAGAAAGATATGAAATCAAAAATACCTCTATCTCCCTGAGTTTGACTTTCTCCCTGAGATTGACCATCTCCTTGAGTTGTTTCTACTTTTTTAATTTCATCAAGTTCTTGAAAAAGTTGGCTAGAAAAGTACACAACTATAATGTATATATATAGACATAAATATTTAGCAAATAAAAAGTGAAATTAAATAGAGCATAAAGCATAGCCATAAAAAAAAACTATATATATATATATATATATATATATATATATATATATATATATATATATATATATATATATATATATATATATATATATATATATATATATATATATATATATATATATATATATATATATATATATATATATATATATATATATATATATATATATATATATATATATATATAAAAGTTATTCAAAATTATTTGATCTCCTTTTCTCGAGCAAGACTACAAACTTTTGGCTTGATGCCCCTCATCAAGTTTTGCACAGTGCCATTGGGAACTTTATTACAAGCTTTTATCCACTTTTTAAGTAACTCAGACTTTGTATTGGCTAAACCTTATGTCTTATTTAACTTACACTTATAAATAAGCCAAAATTTATAGGGCGTATTTATGAATAATATTAGTGGGTTGTGATCTTTAGGTATAATTTCAACAGTATATTTTTGGTACCAAACTCATTCTTCCTTTAGCATAGTGACAGCTTGCTAAATCAGATTTTTCCAGGCACTCCTTCTTGTAGAGTTCAGCATTCATTGATTTTGAGGCTACAAATGGTTTGCTTTTTTCACCACAGCTTTTTTGCCACAGCAAATTGCTTGCCATTTCTTTTCCTGTTTCTTGCCAAACTTATCCAGCTATGTATATTTATATTTATTGCTGACAGCTCCACGCTTGATGCCAGCATAAAATTTATGACCAAGGTACTTGTTTAAAGTCTAATTTGACATAAGTTTTATCATCAAGAATTAGGCAGCAATCGAATGTCAGAATGTTGTTGTACAGTTTCTTGCTTGCGTTTTGATACATTTTTGTTGCTTTACAGTATGGTTTGAATATTTTGTCTTGCAATGATAATGAATACCATAAAAATTCTTCACTTTTTGCACAAAAGAACATGATGTATTTTATCTTTTTGATCTTTCATAGTCAGATGATCCAGGATTCTGCAAGTATAAACAACAAATTTTCGAGGCCAACTTTTTTATTCTCAAAACCTTTTTTTCTTCCAGATTCTGACTTGTGATTGATTAATAAAGATTCCTTGCAATATTTGAGAACCTGAGAAACAGTTGACTAATTGATTTTAGCTAGTTTAAAAAATGTTTTAGATAATCCAGTAGTTTCTATGTAAATATGCAAAAATCTTTCACGGTTGATTTGTTTTTTTGACGTCATTTTTAATAAAAATCTTTTAGAAAAACATTTATTTTTATGTGAAAAAATACTAAGTACTAAGTAGTATTAAGCTTTGTTAATATTTCAGAAAAGTTTACTTTTTATATTATTTTTTGTTAATTTGAATCTCTCAAAGTTGAATCAATTTTTTCGTGGCTATGCTTTACTTAAAAAAATAATAACATAGTATTTTATCATTATGTTATTTTTCAAAAAAAAAAAGACAAAACAATTAATAGTTCTTGCTTTATTGAAATATTTTTAAAACTCATTTCTTTAAGATGAATTCTTTTAAAACTCGCTTCTTTAAAATATTTTTAACTTGACAAATTAAATTAGCGAGTGAAAATTAACTGTTAAGAGACTCCAGATCTTTAAATTGATCAAAAATCACATTTACAGATATAACTCCGATAAATTATAAATCAAAACAAAAAGAAAAAATGTTTTGAAATTTATTTTTAACTTCACCATTTCTTTTGACATAATCCACTAGGTTATTATTATTATTATTATTATTATTATTATTATTATTATTATTATTATTATTTACTACACGCTTTACTATAGTATCTTTGTTTTTGTTCTGAACATCTGTTTAATATATATTTTTAATTATTTTATCCTTTTTCTTTTCCTAAATTTTTTCTTATTTCACTTGGGCTTGACAGCTCGGCCTAGTCCTTTGATGCATATTTTTGCATTTTTTAAAGGTATAAACTCTGTCCTTTTTAAGGTATAAACTATGTATGAGCTTCTTTTACTTTTTTTTATGAAAGCATGATTCTAGAATACAACACTTGACCCTAAAATGCAACACTTGATCCTAGAATGCAACACTTGATCCTAGAATGCAACACTCGATCTTAGAATGTAACACTTGATAATAGAATGTAACACTTGGTCCTAGAATGCAATACTTGATCCTAGAGTGTAACTTTATAAGATTTTTTGCTTTATTTGTATTCGGAGTGTTTTAAAAGACAAAATCTTTTAAAATACTCCAAAAAATTTCAATAGGACAAGATTCTAGCAAGTGAGCAGGGTTATCTGCCTTCTTAACATTAAATCAGCAAGAATGCACCACCTAAATGATATTTATTGATGAAGGTCTCTTCCTAATAAATTTGTTTCAATAATTTTTTTGATTTATAGCAAGTCCACTAGGCACAAACTAGACCTGAGAAATGCTATTTTCAGAAAAAGCAATCTATAAAAGTCATAAATTTTATTTATGTTTTTTTTTGTTAATAAATAAGGTCTTTATTCCTAACAAAATTAGTCAAAAAATGTGTATATAGCATTAATTATGGATGCAGTAAATTTGGAAAAATAGCTTTGTCAAGTATGGCAAGAGACTATGCAAAATGTCTCCAAATTTGCTTCATTGATTTAAAGAAACCAACTTCTAAAGGTTGTAAAACATGACTACTTTTTGGGGTAAGGCAAATGAGTGCAATCTAAATTGCAGAAATAAAAATTAGAAAAATGTTGTTAGTTTTAGGATAAAACCGCTTAGATTGTTGGATTTTGCCCCTGATTCAAGAATATATGTAAGAGGGCTGCCATGACCATCCATAAATAGTGCTATATACACATCATTTCCATGTTGACTAATTTTGTAAGGAATAAAGTCCTTAATTATTAAAAATCTACACAATTGAAAAGATGAAATAATAAACTGAAGTTTATGCTGAAAAGGTCTCACTGGCAGACTTGCCTTAATAAACCAATTATCAAAGACATGCTTCCCTCCACCCTGACTCAGATGCAGCATATTGGGCATCATTCAGAAGATATTGAGTATAGAATCTTTGCTATGACAAGCTCAATATCTTCTAAAGCATATGAGAAATTCAGAAAAAAAATCATGTAAAATGCATACTAATACACAATCAACATGAATTACAGTATAAAAGTGATGCAGTAAAAGTTATAAAGAAAAATAAAGAAACCAAGTAAAATTTTATCTGTAAAAAATTTAATTTAAGAAAATTATTTGGTTGACTTATCTTCTTCTTAACAAAACAAATAAAACCAAAATGTTATTCAAGCAAATTCCACAATCATTATGTTATAAGGTGAATAAGGTTTAACTAGTTTGATTAAATTAATTACTTATCAATTTACTTGTAACTTGTTAAATAAATGCTCAAGTATAGGTATACTGACCAACTCCAAAAATGTTTGGATTAGCACCAAAATTGTCAAAGTTTTAGTTGAATAATTTAAAGTACCAAAAAATGGAATAGCCCAACAAATTCTACATAAAACTCTAATATTAAAAGCTATCTCTGTAAAAAAAAAATACATAAACATGGGCTATTTTTTAAAAGTTGAAACGCTCAAAAAAAATTTCAAAATTTAACAATTATGGGAAAACAAAAATATTTTACAAAATCATTTTTAAAAATATAAATGTCATATATTGTGATTCCACGATTACACCTTAAATAGAACAAGTTTAATCTTTTAATACTTAATTTTTAAATAACACATGAAATAGATCAGAAAAATTGTATAATAATCACAGCAATATAATACAATATAATAATTGTATTATATTGCTGTGATGAATCACAATAACTATTGTACTGTTTTAATAAAAACTATTGTACTGTTTTAATAAAAACTACTGTACTGTTTTAATAAAAACTATTGTACTGTTTAAAAAAAAAAAAAAAAATTAGTAGCCTCCTCGACTGTAGTGGCCCCCTCAGGCCTTAGGGAGGTGAATAATTAAAAAAAAAAAAAAAAAGTTTGTAGTGTATTGCATTAATTTTTCAAAGTCTGAAAGCCATTGTAACTTAATATATTTAGATCCTTTTTCCATAAATTTACTACTATTTGGGTGCTAGTAAATTCTGTTTTTAGCACTCATTTATATAAATAATTTTTATTTAATTTGAGAAGTGATGTGAAGCTGGGTAGTAAATAGTTGCTAAAAATGGTTGCACAGACACCGTGTGAAATGAAATTTTTGATTTTTTTTATGTCTAAACTGATATTAAAATGTTTCACTATATGAGGACGCCAAATCAAATTAAATAATTACTTATAGCACGTGAAAAAAAATTATTATTTTTAATTATACTTTTTTTCTTGTTTTTATATATAATATATTTATTATATATATTTTATTCTAATTTTATATATATAATATTAGGGCTTAATTTAATTTTTTATAAGGTCCCGGACAAAATGTCCGATCAAATTTTTGAAATAAAATTTAAACAAATAATTTTCATCAATATTTACATATATTCATATTTGTTTTGTTAAAAGGAACACAGGAAAAAGATAGTTCTTTAAATACCGAGAGTAAAAAAGTACTGCAGATGGGTTTTTTTAGACTAGCTTCTGGCGTATCTGAGTTTTACGGAACCCAATTATCCAATCGAAATATATGTTATGTTTTCCCAGTTTATTTTATTTTAGGCTAGTGAAGTTGTAGTTTTTTTTTTTAATATTCAGAATTTTTATCATCGTAGATCTTTGTTTTTTAAATGAAATAGTTTAAATTCAATACTGCGCATTTTTTTAGATAGACTTGAAGTTTTATTGAGTTTTTTTCTCTTGAAAACCTTGTTAGTTTACATCGAATTGCATTACCGGTTTATAAAAGTTATGTAAATTTTTTTACTTAAAAAAAAATAATATGCTAAGTGTTAACTTTGCGCATAAGCTCCACTTTTAGCGCCAAAAAGGTATTTATATGGCGTTCGTG